CAAGTGTTCGCCCTTTCCCGAGGGGGGGGGGGGGGTTGGTGGGTACAGGGGCGCATTAAGGAACCTGGCCTTGGGGCAGCAGAGAGTAAATCCATACCCTGGGCCGTGGACAATGTATACTGTATATTAAAGTTGACATACACCTCCTGTCAAGAGCTTTAATACACCCCCCTTTTTACAGTTTTTAGTGGTTCAAGTCCAGTGAATAACTTGATATGGTACAAAGGTAAGCGGTAAACTGCCAGAGGTAAAAAAAAAAGGCTATTAGGTTAACAAAAACTGAAAAATAATGTACATTTCAGAGTTATACAAAAAGGGAAGGAGTAATGGATTAACAACTCAGTTGTTCTGCAGCAACAGCTGGCATGACAGGCGGCTCACAGGACAACAGCTTCAAGCACAGCTTAACAATGATCCATGTAAGCAAGTCTTAGTTTCAACTGTGAAGAGAAGACTTTGAGCTTCAGGTTTGACAGGTTGAGTGGCAGTAAGAAAGCCATTGCTAAGATGGCAAAATTAGAAAAAGAGGCTTACTAGGGCCATAAAGCACCGCCAGTGGACTACTGAAAACTTGGAAGAAGGTCTTATGGACTGATGAATCAAAATTTGAGATAATCAGTTAATCACGCAGGGTTTTTGTACACCATTAAGTAGGTGAAAGGATGATTTCTCCGTGTGTGACACCAGCTGTCAAACATGGAGGAGGAAGTGTGATGCTCTGTTGGTCAGGGGTTCATCCTACAGCATTATAATGACCCAAAACATACCTCCAGGCTGTGTCCTGGACAGAAGCGTGAAAACAAAGCAACCTACAAATGCAACACATTTGTGGGAACTTCTGCAACAGTGTTGGAAAGAACTTTCAGAAAACAATATTTCATTACTGTTGTAGAAAGAATGCACGAGTGTGTTTGGCTGTTATATCTCCAAAAGGTGGCTACTTTAATGAGTCAAAAATTTGGATTACATTTTGCTAAAGAAAATGATTCCATGACTTCTTTTGGATGTCTAATTGTTTATATGTGCTTTATTTTCAGAGTACATTGAGACATTAAACTACATGAATTTCAATAAAAACGGGAAATATGTGGATGTTCTTAAACGTTTGCCCAATAGTATAGGTCAAAATAACACAAAATCACTAGCATTCATTAAGAGCATCTTGCCTCCATAAAACAAATATTGATTCATGTTCAAGTCAGAATGTCCATTAATTTGTCACAAAAATGTGCCAGAATTGCTTCAGTATGATTTTGGACTTATTTACAGACAGTTTCCTTAACACAAAACTGGCTGAATTTATTAATGAATTTGTCATAGCCATAGAGACATATTACAAAAGTGTTTGAAAAAGAAAGTAACTGAATTTGACACACAAGAGGGAACAATCTCCAAAAGTGTTGCATGGGTTACATGAAGTTGGCACTTACCTCCATATTACAGCAATACTGCCAGGAATCTGTCGCTACAGCTATACTGAATTGCCCCTAGTGTTTTTGTAGTTCACAGTAAGGCGGTAGCAGAAGAAAGTGTGCATCCTAGCACTAATATGGTTAGAAACTGCCTGGTGGTAAGGAAGAATCCTGCGTAGCCACTGCCATTTGCTCCTTCTCATTTTATAGTTGGTAATAACACAACTTTGGAAGTATTTTAATGTCTAATATATTTTTTATGTATTTTCTTTCTTAGGTATGCACATTATTGAAATGTCAAAGTACAGATATTAAATCATGTGGAGAATCTGTTGAGCAAGCGTCAACTAGATTCAAATCATTTTCTCTCAGTGGCAATTTCTCCACTTCCTATGTCTTCCCAGAAGTTTTGTTGACTCAAATTAATTTGGCTCCTGACATGTTTCAGGTTTGTATTTGATTGATATAGAATCGGTCTAGTATTGGTGCAATTTAGGCTTAATTTTATAGCAATAACAATGTCATCCCATCTGAATGTGTGATGGAAGTTGGATTATACAATGAGTGGCCAGATTATTGTGACCACCTGACGTTTGTAGGCAAATTAGCTATAATTTTGCGCTATAGTTGCTAGAGGGCCAGATCATTATAAATAGGGAAGCAGGTTGTTTACCACAAAAGTAGAAGTGATTTTTTTCTGAAGATATGGGTAAACAACACAATTTAACAGCCTTTGAACGTAGGATGATTGTTGGCGCTCGGAGCCATGGAGCGAGTATCAGCAAAACAGCAAAATTCGTTAAATGTTCAAGAGCAGCTGTTGTTAAAGTGTTTAAAGACTGGACTGTCAGCCAAAAATCTGGGTCTGAACGTGCAAATTGTGGCCGCCAGCGACTAGTCAATGTTAGGGCAGAACGGAGAGTGGCAAGACTGGTACAAGACAACAGAAGGGCAACAGTGCATCAAATTACTGCAGATCTTAATCAGGGATCCTCTCAAATGATCTCTGAACGCCGTACACTGCATCGTATGGGATATGGAAGCCGGAGGCCTATTCGAACACCTTTGCTGTCTGCAGTTAACAACATAAAACGTCTCCAATTCGCTCAGGAACACAAGGATTGGACAGTCGAGCATTGGAAAAAAGTCATCAAGCTGGTGGGGGCAGTGCTATGGTTTGGGGCATGTTTTCCTGGCATGATTTGGGCCCTTTAATTCGTGTGGAACAACGTCTGAATAGCACAACATACCAAAGTATTGTTGCTGATCAAGTTCATCCTATCATGTTGATGGCGTATCCCAATGGAGATGGCTTCTTCCAACAAGACAATGCGCCATGCCACGGTGCTCGTATTGTGCAGGAGTGGTTTCAAGAACATGAGGGAGACTTTACCTTGCTTAGGTGGCCCCCACAATCACCAGATCTCAATCCAATTGAGCATTTGTGGGACGAAGTTGAAAGAGCCATCAGGCAGCTGGTTCCACAACCATCAAATCTCACAGAACTGGACAGTGCTATTCAGGCATGGTGTCAGATTCCTCGCATCACCTTTTAACATCTCGTGGATGCCAAGAAGAATCGCCGCAGTATTGAAGTCAAAAGGTGGCCCAATGAAGTACTGATGGGGTGGTCATAATAATCTGGCCACTCAGTGTACTTTACAGGACCTTGTTACCCAGAAGGTTAAACCTGAAGCAGCTGTACGCAGGCTAGAATACATGGATTTACAATATAAGGGTTTATCTGTGCTATATACCAGCATTTTTTGATTTATAGTTGGCAACGGGGTGAAAAGGAATGTGTTGGAAGGCCCTGCCCACTATCCTGAGGAGTAATCCCTTCATTTTTGGATCATTTGCTAGAATAAGACATGTGAATGCCTTCTGTAGTAAAAAAGCTCTACCGTGATACACATTGGTTCAGTGGAGGGCTTTTTGGTTTCTTTAGTCCTCTCTCACCATGTCCTTCTGGATTATACCTTCTTGTTGGTTTGTAAGCCCCATAGAAGCCATAATTTCTATACACTGCACTGATGATGGCCAACAAACCTAAAACAGCTGTATGCATTAAACGGCTCTAAAATATTAGGCTTTATCTACACTATACACCAGCAGTTCTTGATGTTCAGTTAGCCAGGAATGATTTTATGATTCTGCCCTCTGTCCTGAAATGAGGAATAATCCTCTTAATTTTGGCAAATACTGTATAATAGAATGAGACTTGTGAATGCCTTCTGTCTAAGAAGGCTGTTCTGTGCTAACCAAGGGTTTTGTAGTGAAATCGTTAACAGGGCCTTTGGTTTTCCAGCTCCAATTTTAATAGTAATGTGCCTACATTTGCCCATAACTAACACTGAAACATGTACTTGCTCATGGCAATCATTAATTGCATAGTCTGCTCTAGCTATAGTTCTGCTATAGGATGGAGGCTAACACTGAGTATTTTCAAAAGTTAGGGTGAATAATACAAATGTGAAGTTAATTGTCCACATTTTAAAGCCAAGTACAAATCATTTGTTTCTTGCTGCTATAGATTATATAGTTGATATAGTCAGTTGTTGCTGATTTGTATTTATATCTAGTGTCAGATTTATTTTGCTGTCTGTGGCCCTGCATTGGAGGTTCACCCTCTGCATCTATGTCTTATTGGGCACATTTCCCCTTATTCAATTTCCATAGATATAAAAGAAAATGAAAAACTAAAGGGAAATCTGCTCTTAAGACAGTTGTCACAAAACAAATGGTGTCCAGTGGTCCCCATTGGCATACAGTATTCTCTATTCCTGTTCTGATGACAGTTTTGAATTTCACATCACTTGATGACAATTGTCATCAGTAGAAATACAGAAGGTGAATTTCCACAGCTAAGACACAGTCTTCAATAAAAACTAACAGAGGTTCTAACTGTTCCACATCCTATCCAGAAAAAGATGGATTTAGATACACTTAAAGTGACATTATAGTCTCGTTTTTTGTTTTTATTTACCGATATCTACTGCTGGCAAGCAGTAGATATATGCAAAATTATTTTCAAAAATAGAAAAGTTACAAATAGATAAAAACTTACCTGTGTCTGTGCCGCTCACTCCCGGCTGTAGTACTCAGTTTCTCAAGCGGCCTTGCAGGAGGATGTGTGCGGGCGCATGCGCAGTCCATATCACCGGAGGAGAGCTACAGTGCAAGTGAATACACACTGCCGGGAGTGTGCACGTTGGACAGACTCTGTGGGACAGGAAGAAACAGCAGTCTGCGCTGGATCAGAGACCGCCACCAGCGCTGGAGGGGACTTCTGAAAACTAAAGGAAGAAGATCAGATCAAGAGGCATCACTTAAGGTAAGTCTTTACAGCAGCATTGGAGAAAAATAAAAGGAGGGTTTAATGTCACATAACTTGTAAACTTGACATATGGATGTGATAAATTACAGCAAAATGCATTTCATCACTTATCTTCACTTCACTGTCTTCAACAATTTCCATAAATAGTACTAGAGGGTCAACCGCTTCACGTAAGGGTAATCTAACTGTTTTTTTAGAAACTTGCTGTAATACAATCCTTTCTGCTATTAGGTTGCTGTCTAGAATATTGAAGTACAGATTTTCCCCCTAAATGTATATGCTTATTTAGCTGAGGTAATATTTTAATTTATTTATTGAAATATCATTGTTTTCATCCAGGTATTAAATAATGGACAGCTTATAAGTAAAGCTGGCATTTCTTCACATCCTCTATTAAGTGCAACACTGTTTGGAAGATGGTATGAACAAGACCCACCTGGAAAGTGATAGAACATAAAAATATTCACATTTACATTCAATTTCCGTGCTGTGCAGAATTGGCTATATTTTTGTGATCTTCACCTTACAAGTCACTTTTAAGTTTATGTACCTCAGACTTTGTACATTAAAGCTGACGTTTAATCTAGTTATATTTTATTTTCCCTGGTTCCTCCCCCAACTCCATTAAAATTAAATGTTTCATCAAAATTTTGCCATTTTCATTATATATCTAGTTTCTCTGTGCTATCTTTATGTAATGAAGACAGATCATGGCTGGTAGGACGGGCTGGCAGGGTGCTGTACATAGCCCCAGTGCTCTTCTCAAAATCCTTCAGCCATGATGCAAGCAGTGGGTTGGCTGTTGACAGGAATTATGCAAATATCCAAATTATTTGATGTGTTCCAATCTGGAGGAATGGACATTTCTAGGCAGATTGCATTTGCACACAGACTGCTCTAGGTATGCCCACATATGATGCTGAGCTCCATGATCTGAAAAACTGAAATCTAGTGAATGAAAGGGACAGGCCACACACAGTAAGGCTGATGGGGGAAATGGCTGGAAGGGCTAGGACATCCACCAGCCAGGAATTGAGATGAGCCCTATCTGACTTGCTGCATCTTCTAATGCAATAGGAGAGAGGAGCAATAGGACAGAGGGAGAAGGTCTATCCAAGAGCCTCCTTGTTTTCAAGAGGGAATCCTTGCTTTCAATGCATTGAACTGGCCACACATGTTACAATCTAATTATACAATAACTATGTAATCCCTTTTAAGCTTGCCATACTCATTACAATCTTGGAATAATCACATTTACCAAAACAATGTCCAGTCCATTCAATCCATTTGTATCCAGTCAGGTTGGCTCTTGCACCCTGCAGTTGTTGGCAATGAACATTAATATCTTACCAATAGAGTTTCTGAAAGATGCAAGAAATTGTGATTAAACACAAGCTTTGGGTGGACTGACCCTTAAAAATATGAAATTGACTAATATATAAATAAACAGAAGCATGTTTACCAGAGGACCACATGTGGGCAGGTGCCTAGGGTGATATGTATTATGTAATACATGAAGTGCTACAGAGATGTGCCCATGGAAAATAAAGGTCCTCTTTCCTGCCCACCCCCGTTACATAGTATTTGAGGTTAAAAAAAAGACACAGGTCCATCAAGTTCAACCTTTGTGTGTGTGCATGTCTCTTGTGCGTGCATGTGTGTCTTGTGCGTGCATGTGTGTATAAGAGTCCCTGTGTGGTCTAGTATTTAAGTGTACCTATACCCCTGTATGTTACGGTCTCTTATGATGGAATCTAATTGATTTTTGACCGAATCAATATTCTTTTGCTGATACCACTGCTTGCGGCAGAGAGTTTCAAAATGTAACCACTCTAACTGAAATGAAGCCCCTACGCCCTTTGTGGATAAATAATTTCTCCACTAATTTTAGGTGGCCTCTAGTCCTTGTTACGGAGTTTACAGTAAAAAGTTTAGTTCCCATCACCACTGAACATTTTGTACAACAAAATAATTTCCCCTCTTAATCTCTTGGCACTCACACGTCACTTTAAGGATGTTTTCAATAATACATGTGGCCTGAAATTACCTTCTCTGCAACCAACAGACATCAATTCAGCTTCTGCTTGCATCACTCTTGCTTCCTCCTGAAAGAACAGTGTAAATATTAGACTGGGTACTGTAATACGTGGAATGAAAGATAAAAATGTTGCTGTAAAAACAAATATGATATTGTTTAAACCTTCTTTATGTAGATTTGAACAGATGCTAAATTTAAATAAAAGGAAGTTCGAAAACAAAGTGTTGTGTATGTTGTTGGTTAAATATTAAAGGAGATTTCCAGTGTAAATGTAAATTTCCTATGTGATTGGAATTTGATCCTCAGAAGTTCCTGTTTTTCTAGCATTTGAGCTGTAATTCCAGTTGTTACAAGCAGCACCACCATTAGGGAGATCTGATACAGCAGCAGAACCATAAAAGCAGTACCATAAATGCATCTACTTGCAAGACCACTAACATTGGGTCTTTTATAGCATTTAAATTGAAAATCCATGCAAAACCTTTCTCACGGAACATAGAGATCCTGAGTTATCAATCTTCTAGACGGCGCAGTGAAAGGTCCTTTTTCAGATGTCAATGTTGCTGCCTGAGTGGCATGGGCACATCGTATTGGCTGTCCAGCTGTCCTCTTAGGCTCTAGATGACTTGTGGAAGGGTAGTAGAGGAGAGGAGGGGAGCATCAGAATGACAGGGGAATCAAAATTGCAAACTAGCAACAATACAGTGAAGGTAGCTTTGACCAAAAACAACGTCCCAATGAAACAAGTGATAAGGATAAGGTGGGGTCTCCATGAAGTCCTTAAAGGTAAGTCCATGAAATCATTAAAGGTAAAACATGTAATAAGAGGATCAGGAAACAGGGATAGGGAAGCATAGGAGAAGGGGAATGGGGTAAGAAAAGAGGGAATAGAGGAGGAAAGCAAAGTAGAAAGAAAAAGAACAAGAGAAGAAGAAAGAACAGGAAGAGAACTCGAAGGTGTCAAATAATTAATAGGAACAAAAGGGAAGTTCTAAAAGAAGACGGCTTACAATATGTGATCCAGAGTTGCCATATGGCCAAAAAACAGTTGTGCATGTCAGTAAGCATTGCAGTAAGTTTTTCATTATTTAAAATTGCGTTAACACATTCCTTGACCTCTTTAAAATGTAAGGTTGTGGATTTCCAAGCTCTGGCTATGGTCATTTCAGTAGCAACAAAAATGTGGGTAACTAAAATCTTCTCAAGATGGGTCAGGGTGGAAATCCTGAGGTTCACTAGCTCTCATATTGGCTACAATTTTGATCTCAATATATTTGCTTCATTAATAAGCTGAAACGTAGGAAAAATCATATTTACCATAAGCCACTTGTGCAACAGGGTAAGAACCGACATAATCCAAGAACAAAATGTCATCAAAATGTAAATGTAAATAAAAATTATGTTTCCATTTATTTAATTTTTTGCATTTTCTTGCCATTGTTTATGATCATTGCAGCAGCTAAAGCTGAAGAAGTCTCTGCAGCTTAAAGTAAAACTCCAGTTACATAGTTACATAGCATTTGAGGTTGAATAAAGACACAGGTCCATCAAGTTCAACCCATTGTGTGTATGTATGTGACTCTGGATGTGTATGCTTGTGTATGAGTCCCCGCGTGTTCTTGTTCTTAACAGAACCTGTACCCCTGAATGGTTACAGTCTCTGAGGAAATCGTCCAAATGCTTTTTGAAAGATTCAATACTCTCAGCTGAAATCACTGCTTGCGGCAGCGAGTTCAAAACCCTAACCGCTCTAACTGTGAAGAACCCCCTTCGCCCCTTGTGCTGAAATCTGTTCTCCACCATTTTTTGGTGGTGGCCTCTAGTCCTTGTTATGGAGTTTACCGTAAAACGTTTGTTGCTGATGTTGCCATCACCATTGAACATCTTGTACACCAAAATCATGTCCCCCCTTAATCTCCTCACTTTCAGCGTGAACATGTTTAAATTTAGTAACCTTGTCTCATAGCTTTGGTCCTCCATCCCCTTAATTAGTTTGGTTGCCAACCTCTGGACTCTTTCCAGCTCAAGGACATCCTTACTGTGTATTGGTGACCAAAACTGGACCGCATACTCCAGATGAGGTCGAACTAGTGATCTATAAAGAGGTAAAATTATAGATTTGTCTCTACAGTACAGTCCCTTTTTAATACAAGCCAGAACTCTGCTCGCTTTGTTTACCGCAGCCTAGCATTGCAAGCTATTATTCAATCTGTGGTCTACTATGACCCCCAGATCTTTTTCCATTTCTGACTTCCCTAGTGGAGTAGCCATTAATGTGTATTCCGTTTGCCTATGTTTAACCCCGAAGTGCATTACTTTACATTTATCGACATTAAACCTCATCTGCCATATAGTTGCCCACTCCCCTATTTTATCCAGGTCCTCCCGTAATGTTCTACTGTCCAAGTCCGTGTCTATTACCCTCCCAATTTTAGTATCATCAGCAAACACGGAAACATGACTATTTATTCCCTCCCTGATATCATTAATAAACAGGTTGAATAGTATGGGGCCTAGCACAGAACCCTGGGGCACACCACTTATGACCTTGGAACAATCTGAAAAGGAGCCATTTATTGATACTCTCGTTCGTGTAACCAGTTCTCTATCCATATACACACCATTTCATCTATGCCCATAGATCTCAGCTTGTGTAGTAAGCGCTTATGAGGTATCATGTCAAATGCTTTTTGAAAAATCCAAATATACCAGATCCACCAGCCTCCCTCCATCCAGATCTCTACTTACCTCTTCGTAGAATGTCAGGAGGTTGGTCTGGCATGAACGGTCCTTCCTAAATCCATGCTGATTGTCATTTATTATGCCATTATCATGAACAAACTCTAATAAGTAGTCCTTTATCATTCCCTCTAATAATTTACATACTATGGCTGTAAGACTGACTGGTCTGTAGTTCCCAGGTTGGCATCTTGACCATTTTTTGAATATAGGTACTACCGTAGCCTTCCGCCAGTCACTTGGCACTTTACCAGTCATTAAGGAGTCCTTGAAAATGGTGAATATTGGTCTCGCTATAACCCTGCTGAGCTCTTTAAGTACCTTGGGGTGCAGGTTATCTGGTCCTAAAGCTTTATTGGCATCAAGTTTTTAAAGTTTATGTTGAACCCCGGCTTCCGCCAACCACTGAGGTATATTTTGCAACAAGACACTTGCACTCTTATCTACATTAAACCCATCCTTTTCCCAAGTGTATACTGAGGAGAAAAAATAATTCAACACTTCGGCCCTCTCCCTGTCGTTTGTAACTAATCTCCCATTTTCATCCTTTATTGGGCCTATCTGCTCCTTTCTTACCTTTTTACTGTATCTATATTGGTAGAATTTTTGGGGGTTCTTTTTACTAACTGTGGCGATATGTTTCTCGCACTCTATTTTAGCTGCCCGAATT